AATCGCTTGTGAAGCAGGCTCTTTTATGTTCCAGTACTTCATGGAATCAAATTATATCACATTAAAATGTTATTAGTTTAAAACATATTAAAGGGTATGTAAGTCTGGGCCGGTGCATGAATATTTAAAGCTCACATTACACGGAGAACTATCGGAAGAAGAAGGGGTGGGAGAGCTAACAGCTCATCGTATAAATATTGATAGAAATAAAACGTCCTACGTATAAACTTTCTTTAGCAAATTAGGATTTTACTATTTACAAATTATGGTATTGTTAAATTTAAAGGGACCTATAAGAAGAAATAAACTGATTTACACTTGTTCTCAGTGATAAACAATCAGTGCCAGTAAATCTTTTCAATGCCCCGTTTTGGATCTTAGGTAATAGTGGATTGCTGGGAAGTGTAAGCAAATTTTAAATACAACTGACTGCCCGTTTTCCATAGTCATATATTGCGAATGTAACTTCAAGGGAGTAAATTTTATCTCAAAATTCTCCAAGAATTGCCTTGAAACCTCGTCTCTGTGCATATGTATACGGCATACACTTGACGTCTGCCATGTGTACCTGTGCACTGGAAACCAATAGTGGAACTGAATTTAATTACTGGATTGAGTTGAAATGAACCCATGCAAACGACCCAGGTCTGCCCTCTTTGAGGCTTCTCTGTATAACGCGTTTAATTAAAGCAAGAAAAGCAGTAAAGTAAGACAACAATAGCGATAACCCACCATGAGCACCAGGTTCCCCGAATACAGCCCCATGGTGTTTTGCAGCGCTACCCGACTATTTCTGGGTGGCGAGCCGCTAACACATGGTGCTACCAGCAGCCACACCTCGAAGCCCTTTATACGCAGAGGACCCCACTGGCAGCAGAAATGGGCGTTTTGACCCCAACCATTCCTCAGCCCCTTTCTGCCGCCGGCGCCGCTAGAAAACTTGCGGCGGCGACTGGCCTGCGCTACGCGCTTTTTGCGCTCTGCGCCCGGGGAGTTACCAGTGGAGAGGCGCCCCCATCCACCCGAGCGCCGCCCCTAGGCAAGCCCCAAGCTTATACCGCGAGGGACCTACTCGCCGCGCCTCGGCGTCCACCCTCAATCCTGACACCATCCAGACCCGGCAAACGAAGCAGGGCGGGGCTGGGCATTAGGGGCGCCGCCTGCGGAAGGTGCGGTGCCACGTGCGCGCTGCAAGGACCCCGAATCCTGCAAGTCCAGCTGCGGCCTCAGCTGCTCCCAGAACTGGGCCCCCAGCTTTAGGGCGGGGCCTCCTCCTCGCCTCCAGTCTGGACGTCGGCTCCCACCCACCCTCAGCGCAGGCCCCAGCCCGGAGCTGCAGGGTTAGAGTCGTTCCCCGCGGCTTCTCCCAGGGCTCGCCCAGAGCGAGGCCCGCTGGTCCAACCTTTGCTGGATTCCGGGCTGGGGATCTCGGGAGGGGGGCACTGGGTCGGACCGAGCCCCAGTCCCGGCTCCACAAGCTCTGGAGTCCCGGGCGTTTCCTGGCGGAGGGGAAGAGCCCGAGCTAGGCTCCTCTCCTCCCGAAGTCGGCCTCCCCCTCCCGAGACTGCAGCGTCTTAGCTGGAGGGAAGCTGACAGCGTGCCTAGGCCAACCCCTTCTGCGACTCTTTTCTTGTCCTGTCACTCTCTGTTCTCGGTTTCTGCTTTCTCCCTCTTACAGAATACCAGAGCGCGCGGGGGCCGGAGAAGCCTCCACACCAGCCCCTTTCCTGGGCCTCCAATCTGCCCTTCCCCACAGTCTTGTCTCTCCCTCGACATATTTCTGTCTCTATAGATTCTCCCCTCATTTCCCTGCAGGTTTAACCAGCGTGTCTCTCTGCCTCTCTAAATCTGCCTCTCCCTTTCTCCATGGTGTAGCATTAAACAAATCCAGGTGTGTCGAGGGTGGAGAAATTCGGGCAACGTGGACAGAAAGAATGCCTTATTCTGTCCTTGCAACATTTCCGGTCACTACAGTTTGGCTTCCCCTTGAGGTGGTGCCAGCGCCGGTAACGCCATGCAGGCCGCAGCTACCGAGGCGCCGGCTCGCGCGCTCTCGCTCCCTAGCTGTGTATGCGTATGTTCGAGTGTGGATTTATGTGTCTGTGGTTGCAAACCGGGCAGGCTTTCCAAACCGAAAGCTGAGCGGAGTTGGGTTTCTAGGATTCTAGGGCTGCGGGCAAGGGAGGTGGGGGACTTTTCGGGGGGTCCCGACGCCCATCTGCGCCTAGACTCCACGCGTCCCTAGCCCCCTGCCAAGTATCTCTAGGGCCGAAGTATCAATTCCGCGTCGTCCGAAGAGGCTCTCCACCTGCTCCGCGGCGGGGATCCGCCCCTCGGCCCAACGCTGCTGGAGTCCGGGAGGTCCGAAGCAAGCTGGCCAGGCGCAAGCGGAGATCGACCCACAGCGGACAGGGTGCGCAAGGGAACGGCGGCTGGTCTGGGTATCCCGCGCGGGGAGGGGGGGGGGGTGTCTCTGTGAATTCTGAGCCTGGCACTGGCGCCGCGCGACCCGCTGGGTTATGACTAGGGGCGGGCGCCCCCTCGGGAACGCACATTTGTTTCGCCTTGGTCCGGAGCGCGCAGAGTAGGACGCGGCGGCGCTGGGGTCAGGTATTTCGGAGCACCGTGAACCCATCATTTCTGAGGCTTGGCCTAATCCTCTGCCCTTCCTGGGTGCAGACAGGAACAGAGCAGTGCCCGGTGTCTCCTCCCTAATCCAAAAGCTCCACAAAGCCAAAACACACATGCAAAACTCACCAAAGCATCTCACAAATACAAAAACTAAAGCCAACACACGAAAAATATAAACCAAAACCCCCATCCAAACGCTCGGCTCGTAAAAACAAAATAAAAATAGAAGAAAAACAAAACACAAACACAAAATTCACCTAACGCAAAACACACAGACGACACCCACTAATTCAAAATCAAAACACATCAAAACACCGCGCAGAAGCAACAGCCTTCAAACGACACACAAGAAGACACCCTCCAAGGACAAAGTACAAAATACATAAAATTAAAATCCACAAGACAGAAAACAGAAACCACCAAAAAGACCAAGACTCATAGAGCCAAACCCTCTAAAATGAAATCCACGAAAAAACTACACGCAAAATACCCGAAACAAAAGACTCTCATAGATTATGAAAAGAAAATTCACGGGAAACAAACAAAAACAAAACAAACCCTGTAAATAGAAAACAACCCCAACAACTCCCGCCCCCAGCTTGGGGTGAAATGTCAATTCCGGAAGGGCTTTTGATCTCTAGGCGCCGACAGGCCGCTCCTCCTCGGCTCTGCCACCCCGCGCGGGCTAGGCGAGAGGGCGGGAAGCAGGAGCTGGGGCTGGATAGCGGAAGGAAGAGTCGAGCGCTCAGAGAGGGCCAAAAATCAAATCGCCGGGGCAGGGACCCCGACTCGAAGGCTGCAAGAAGGAGGCGGCGCAGGGGGACTGCGCAGATTACTTGGTGGTGGTGGTGGCGGGGGGGGGGCGGGCGCGGGGGAATCCACAGCCACGTTTCCGATTGTGGCGAAATCGGCTCAGTGGATAAGAGATGTCCGGTTCCCGCCAGCCTCCCCTCACCCCCCTTTTCTCGAGCTCTGGGCTCTTCCCCCTAGGTTGCGGCCCAGCCTCGTGACCACCCCCTCCAAAAAACAAACAACACTCTCGCTGAGGACGATTCACTTTCCGAAACTGCCATTGTCCGGAGGGCCAAGAGTCCTCCTGCAGAGCGCTCCCCCGCCCTGGAGAGCCTTGCCCCTGCGACCACCCCACAGCGGGGCCGCACAGACGTCCAGGGGCCAAGCCTTGCAGCTGGACTCGGGACGGGGGAGGGCGGTCAGGGAGTGAAGTTTTAAGCCTGGGCCGAAGAGAGCGGGCTGGACATGCCACACAACTGCCCGGTCTCTCTCCGGCTGATTTTCCCTCTGGACTCAAGTCCTGAGGCTCGGGCACGCAGCAACGCCTCGGGGCTTGAGGGAAAAGGGATTCCATTTATGGGCCGGGGTAAGGTGTCCAGGACTCCCGCCAGTCTCCAGGACCTCCTCAGCGGAGGGCCGGATTTTATCTCCAGCATTTCACATATGCACCGGGCCAGAATGGGACGTGGTGTGGGAGGGAGCTCTGGCACTAGGAGGCTGAATGGGGACCTGGGAACTTCAGGGTTCTGGCACTACCCTAAAGTCAGGGACCGGGCAATGATATTAGAGCTGCAAATTGGGGTGGGGGTGGGTGGCTGAGAGCTCTGGGGGCGGGCGCCGCCCTAGGGGTGAATCTGAGGAAACTGGAACGCCCCCTCTCTGCCTGGCGACATTACTTGCGTTTGCACCCCCTTCAAAAACACCTGCTGGGCAGGGTGGTTAATTTTTTAAAAAACAAAATCCCGGCCTGCACCCGCCTACGCGGCGGGGCTTACACCTAGAGGGGTCACCCGCCTCTCGCACCCTGCGCAGGGCCGCGACTCCAAGACGCAGGGATTTGTAGAACATGCGGCCACGAGGCCAGGGCTTCCCGGCTTGCCTTCGGTTCGCACCTTACCGTGGGCGCGCGGGCTAGCGCCCGGCTCCGTTTAAAGCCTTCCTTCCCTCCCCCCAACCCCCTATAAAAGTCCGGGGCTGCGCGGCAGCGGCACTGCTGCTCTCCCGGCCTCCCGCACTGCTCGGGCCCGGCCCGGCCCGCCCCGTCTGGCCAGCTGAGCAGGCCCGGCCGCACAGCGCGGACACCCTTTCCCTGCTCCGGCCCGCAGTGCGGGGCGGCACGCTGGGGGCGCGGCGTGTCTGGGGACATCTTGTGATGTTGGCGAGAACAGGACATGATCTCACATGGCGAGAAGCTCTTTAGTTCCTTAATCATTTCACGGTGCCTTCGGACGCTTTTTTTCCACCTAAAACGTTTAGTTTCAGCTCAGTGATCAGCTACCCCAGCTCGGCGGGGGAGCGGAAGGCTTGAATTATTCCGACCTGTGAGCGGCCCCTGGCACCAAAAAAAAAAAAGAAAAAGAAAAAAAAAAAGAAAAGAAAGAAAGAGAGAGAGAAAAGAAAAGAAAAGAAAAAAGAAAAAAAGAAAAGAAAAAAAGAAAAAAAAGAAGCACAAAAAAAGTGGAAACTTTTTCCCCCTGTCCACTTCAAGTTCTGAAAAATCAAAATGGATTTAGAGAAAAATTACCCAACTCCTCGGACCGGCAGGACAGGTAGGACCGCGATTCGGGCTCCAGGCGTGCTAATTCCAGGACCCGGCCAGGTCTGGTCCTCACGGGCCCGTCGGCCCTGGGGGAGGGAGTGAACCGCATTTTCTCAGGGATTGACTGCGTGCCTATCCGCGGCACGTTTGTATGTCTTTTCACCAATTTGTTCGCACACTTCTGCATCAGCTCAAGTGTCTGCGAGTTTGTGTTTTTCTCTGTTTCTGAATGTTTATGTGGGTGACTATCTGGGGCTCTGAAAGTTCGTTTGGGTCTGTGTGTTTACATAGGGGCTCACAGTGTGCATGAGCGACACTGAGTTTGTATGTCCCCGTATATGTATTTTCAAAATGTGTGTGTTCAAAAATTTATGTGCCTGTGTGTATGTGTATCCTTATATTCATGGGTGTGTTAGTGCATGTTTATGAGTTGGTGTTTCTGGGTACTGTACTCTGTGTATCCAAAATGTGTGTGAGTGGAGTATGTGTAATTTGGATAAGTGTCTGAGTGTCCATCTACTCCTTTAAGGGTCCTGTTCACCTGTCATATCCTAAGTGCTTTTGGAAGTGAGAATGCGGTGGTTACACTGACCCCTCCATTTTTGGATGTCAGCAGCTTTTCACTGTGTCTATGCCAACATACACAAAAGTGCCTGCCTCTAGGCACAGAGATGGATCTAGGGCTGTGTGTGTGTGTGTGTGGGGGGGCTGTTGTGCTAAGCCTGTGTGTAGTCAGTGTCAGGACACATTCTGTTGGGAGAACTAGGAGTGGAGGTGTGATTTCAGGGCGTGCAGTCCCTCTGTGTATGGTGTGCACTGCTTCACTCTGTGGGCACTGCTGAGCCTACCATTTGTATAAAACTGTTTCCTGTGGCAGGCACAACCTCGGCAAGGGAAGGTAGGCAACGCATATGCTAGTTGTGACATTTCTAGGGACCTCTAACCTGCCTTCACTTTCACCTAGACATGCCTTTGATAATGGTGTGTGTGTGTATTGTGTGCTCAGGTTTTATCTTGTGGGTGCTACTCCAAAGGAGGAGAGCACAAGTGGGTGGACATGTGTGCCTAGCCTGGGCATCCAACTCTGGTGCCTGTATGCACACGGGCTTTCCTGGCACAGGGCCTGATGTGCCACCCACAGGCCCAGGCAGTGGGTAGCAGAGTGTGTTTATATCTAAGAGGAGGTGGCAGGCAGCAGGAGGCCTCAGTTTGTCCTGAGATTAAAGCTGGGTATAGGAGCCTCTTTTACTCATTAGACCAAGTGTACTAACCCCTACCCAAACACACTCCTGACCCTGCTGGCAAGAATTCTTCCACTTCTCTTATCCCTGTGGCTCTTTGAGGCCTCCACCCCAGCCTTAAACACAGGTCAAAAAGCAGTGAGAGGGGGGTGGACTTATACTCCAAACCCAGGACAACTCTCTGGGCATAGATAGATTTCCAGAATCCTAACAAGTGAGGACAGAAATCTAAGAAGTGGGGAATTAAAGAGGATTCCCCAGGGTGAAGGTGCAAGAAAGGGAATCTGGGAAACTCCCTCTGCTCCATCCCCACCTCCCCACCCCCTTGGGTCCCTTGGTAGGTGGGACTCCCAGGGTTGCCGGCGCCAGATCAGGGAGTTGGTCTTCTGTGTATGTTGGGAATGGGTCAGAGGCACGTGGGGGTCTGGGGAGTGTCTGCGTGGCTGGCGCGACTGCCTCTCCCTTGGAGAGCTGTCTACCAAGAATGTAATTCAGGGCGGTCGATGGGCTCTTTGATTAGTTCAATCGCCTGAATAATCGTTTAATCAATAAAGCATTTCATTCCTCAGTAAGGCGGACCTGGGTGGGGCTGGGGGTCCTAGTCTGGCCCGAGTTTAAAAAATCTGGAGAGCCACGCCCCCTCTTCTCCTTTGGGCTGGGGTAAGGGCCTCCTGCCCCTGGAAAGGGCGGAGCTCCCAGGTGACACTGCACTTCCGCCTGTCTGCACCTGCCTGGGCCCCAGGGGTGGGGGTGGGGGAAGAGGAGAGAGCTGAGAAGCTGGCCAGGGAGGGGGCATCCATGTCTGGTTTTAGGGGTTTTGTGTGGGCTTCTCCCATCTCCCAACTTGGAGGCCTTTTTTGGGCCACTTGACCTCCTTTTCCTTCCTTCAGAACTGTTTTCCATTCCCTCTCACGACCTCAGTTTCCCCATCTGTACAATAGGGAAGGAGTAGATATACCTTTTTAGCTCTAAGCCCAAGATCAGGTAAGGTCAGCCTTAAGCACAGAGCCACTTAAGGATCCTCCTGTCTAGCCTCTTCATTGTGGTACCAAAAAGGAAAAACTGATGTCCAGCGAGAGGGGCAGGGACTTGTCTGACATCATACAGCAAGGAGTACGGAGGGAGTAGGACCAAAAGGTGACTTCTCTGCCCTTAACCCCTCATTCTTGCTGGGAGAGGAGATAGAGCCCCATCTCCCAAGGCCCCCCTTGGAGAAAAAGGACTATTGGCCAAGCTGGCTTAAGGAGTCCAAGGCCAGGAAGGCCAGAAGAGGCTGAACACTGTCTGGGCATTGGCATCCAGCCCCCCAGCTCTGGAATGAGCGTTTCGGAATAACAATCCTCCCTAGCCATGGATCTTCATCTTTCAGAACCTTGGGAGGCCTCATCTCAAGGGTTCTCCCCATTAGACATATAGGGAAGCTAAGCCCTAGAAGGGGCCCATATCCGGAATATTTGGGAGAGAGAAAGATAGTGCCAGAGCCCCTGGCCTGCCGGGTGCACTACTAGTGATAACAAACCCTGACAAAAGCAGTTAACATGGTTCTTGAAAAATCTGGTTAAATTCTCCTATCTTTCCACCTACTTCAATGATGCCTACAGAAAGATCTTGATCCAGGTGCAGCAATCACACTGGAATCCACTCTGCCCAACTCTCTATGTAACCCGGGTCAGTTGCTCTCTCTCTTTGATACTTTTTAAAATGAGGGTCAGAGAGGGGGCACCTGGCTGGCTCAGTTGGAAGAGCATGGGACTCTTGATCTTGGGGTTGTGAGCTGGAGCCCCATGTTGGGTGTAGAGATTACAAAACAAAAACAAAACCTTAAAAACAATAGAATAAAATGAGGGTTATAAAGAGAGGACCTACCAAGTTAGGACTGTGATGGCAGCAGTGTCTCTGACCCTCCCAAACTGAGCACCTAATCTGAGCCCTGTCGGCCTTGCTTTGCCTGAAGCAAGACCAGGGATATGGGCTGGAGAAGTCGATTTCAGGCCCCTAGAGCCCTATAGCAGCCCCAAGCCCCAGACACATGCTGGAGGGGTGGACTTGGAGAGAAAGGGGAGGCGGGGAGGGAGTGTGTTCTGAGTGACTGCAGGTTGTTGACTGAAGATCAAGGTGGATGTTCCTCTGGAGGTATTTTGGCTTCTCAATTAATTCTCAATGGGCTTTCTTTCAATAGCAGAACTTTCAAAGGCAATTCGACTTCTATAAATTGAGTTTCTTCCCGGATGGTTTCCTTTCCCAGTATCTGCCGCCAGCGCTTAGCACAGGGCCCTGCCCAAAGTTGTGCGATTGGGGGAAGGTAACCCCGTGACAGTTGCACACAGCGAGGCCCGACCGGATTCAGCGCCGGGGCGGTGAGACCAGCTCCCTGCTAGTCTAGTCTGTCTCTTATTTGCTTGTCTCCCTGCTAGTCTCACTCAGACTCGTGGGCTCGTGAGCCCTCGGAGGCCGGACTGTTGCGCGGGGAAGCCCGGCTCCGTCAGGGAATCGCTGTGTAATCTCGCGCTAGTCATGTTACTTCTCGGGGCGGCTGTTTGGAGGCCTGTAAGGCTAGGGTAGGTGGCCAGGATGTCAGGTCTGGTGACGCCTCTTGGCGTGAGAAGTTCTCGGAAGACGGCCCGCTTGGAGACTGGAGGCGGTGAAGAACCCCTACTCAGAGGGAATCTCCCCCTGTCCTGGGCACCTGGCGCTGCACACATTAGGCAACCCAACACCGTCCTGAAGCCTCACACTCTCTTTGAAATGGGAATCCAAGCTATTCCTGCTGGGTTAATATCTGTGGTTCCATCCCACCTCAGCAGTACTCTGAGGATTCTGTCCAAGCCGCACAGGTATTGGGAGGAAACTGGTTTGTGCTGGCATATCCAACCTAACTAGATTCTTTGACTTGGCAGCATACACCCCCTCACTCCACCTCCAAACTCCCTGCCATCCTATGAGTGGCTCTGTAGAGGTCCTTCTGAGAAAGAGGTTCCCAGCCCACAGCCTTTCCTCTACCTTAGACTTTCTATGTGACCTTGGACAAGGCCCTGCTCAGCCTCAGGATACGCATCTGTAAAATGGGGAAAGCATTGCCTCAGGGCCCTTTTCGCTCTAAGACTTTAGAATTTGAGTTTCTAGGCCTGAAGGCAATGAGTGGGGCTGGAGGTGGAGGTGTCCCTGGCTGCGTCCCTCAGGGAGTACCCCCCCCCCAGCCTCTCCAGGAACGCTGAGCCTCCACATCGAATTCTAGTCACTTTTTATCCACCGTGCGCCGTGGGGTGGAGAGAACGTGGGAACCCTAACTCATCCGGGTTCCTCTCCGCTTTTATGTTCTTCCTGCTCCAAGGCGGAGGTGCGGTTGAGGGAGTGGGGGAGGGACGGTGGGGGGCCGAGGTTCTGGACCTGCGGGGTTCCAGACAAAGGAGAGAGAACGCAGCCACTCCACCCCAGGGCACACTGTAGTCTTCTGGGCCCCCAGAGGCCCGCCTGGGGCCGTTTAACGCAGCTGTGCCCTGGAGGGGGTGGGGACGGTGTCAGCACCGGAAACTTATCTACCGGTCAGGGGCAGCTGGGTCTGGGACAGTAACAGAAGGGGAGACTGAGGGCTGACCTCAATGTAGGGGTGTGAGAAATGGGGCAGAGGTAGAGAGAAGGGAGACTGAGGCAGAGAATGAACCAGGAGCCCTCTCAGGGTCAACTTGTGCTCTCGGTCTTCCTTATAAGCTCAGTTCTGGAGCGACCATCTCAGAGCACCCCTCCCCCTTTTTGTGGACTTATGTTTAAT